GACATCTGAAATTGCGAAAATTGATTAAAACGACTTAAACCACGACAAAAAAAAACTCATGGAACTGGTGTTTTAAAAACTAGAAATGTTTCTTGAGTTATATACTATCCGTCGTTAGTATGGAATTGATTGAAAAAGTATTGCAAGTCTATTGAACATTGTATCGATGTGATATTCAATAGAAGTGTTGCAATTCTTGTTTCCATACTTTTGATGGATGGTGTATAAACACTAGAGAAAATTTCACAATAGTACAGATTGATAATTTTCCACAGATCATAACAGCGTAGGGCTAGAACAATGAGTGCAAAAAGTTCTCATTTCCCATAGTAACTCCCATATAAACTTCAATGCCAGTCGCATCCAAATGAGCTCAAAGTTTTTGATATTTACCAGAAGCTGATTTGAAGTCAATAGGTGGATAAAATCATTCCTTTGTACCACTCTAATATATACTTTCGTAGCATTATTCAGTTTATAGAGTTTCGGAAATATTGAACATTCTTATAGATTCTGGTGGTGATTCTTTTGAAACATCCGATACTCTCGATACTCCCGGTACTGCGAGAGCTATCGGAACTTCAGTGACCTTCTAAATTTCTCACATTCTTATGACTTCCCATAACTTATGAACAGATATCGTAGTTTTTAGCTATTTGTGAAGAGAAACGTCATTTTCACCCGCTAGATAAAACAGTTGAGAATGTGAGAGGCGAGAGAATATTATATTCTTACAGCAGTGAAAAGCAACAGCAATTTCTGTTTTTCGGAGAGTTTAAGTAGCCGATAAATCGTTTCTTTTTCAGTGAATCCTGATTGCCGATAATGATTTTTCACTTCTTCCCACACACCTGAAAATGTACTGGTCTACATGTTAGCAGACGGCATTGCGAAAGCAGGTTGAATCGAGTTATCGTACTATGTGCGCTTCATGATTGCCTTTAGCGTTTCCAATATCTTAAGAATTGATAGGCGATTGGTAACAACGTAGGTCTAATAATCGTTACGTTCAGGGTTCAAACTAGGAACGCAACCTCTTATAATTGTTTTTAAATATGTTTATTGCTTCCTACGATCAAGTAAAATTTACCCATCCAAGCAAAAATGATCCGTAATTACGAACCAAAACAAAAGTTATGATTTGACAGAATGCTTTTCTTGTAATTCTTCTTCTTCATCATCTTATTTCACCAAAAAGTGCGGAGACGAACCGGTTGAAATAGATCAAGTTGGCTTGGAATTTATTTGCGCACATTATGCACTTTTACGTTAAGGTGTTTCTCGTAACCACTTCGAAACTTTAAGTGCACAAATGTAAGCTGCTCCGAAACGTACCACAATGAAACTGTTACTCCACGTGTGCTGTACTGCAGCATACATGAAGTAGCGATTTCAGGTGAAATGGGGCATTAATTTAAGGAGTGCAGTTTCGAACCCCTTTGGATACGGTTGTGTTTTAAGTTTGTTCTCTGTTTTGTGCGTGCGTTCACTTTCATAATTTTCGGCTGCATTTGCCGGATTTGCGTTGGCACTCTGCCTCCCGGACGGTTATACGTGTGTGATTGGTGGTTTTCTCGTTTTTCGGGAAGTTTTCGAATCGAGAAAAAAAACGTAATTCATGATGTTTCCAAGCTTCAGAAGAGATGTCGCTATCTGCGTTGTTTGATTTTTTCTCACGGACCAGAAAGTGTACCAAAAGTGCTTCTGAACGTGTTTCGCAGTTGGGTGTGGTGAATTTCGTGAATTCGCGGTTTATGTTCAGTGATAATTCCGTATCACAAAATTGCTCACCGAGTTCCTTTTTTTTTGCCGTTAGACGACGACGGGCTGTAATAGAGCTAACACCTTCGAACTCTCGGTCTAAACCTGCTTTAATTTAAGGGTAATAGTTACAGTTTTCTTCCATAATAACACTGCCGGACAGTGGGGGTTAGATTGTACACACACACACAAACAAATGGGGAATTAATTTAAGAGATGTGAGTAATTGAAAATTCGAAGTGGAAGTGCATGTGCATGGTAGTCATTTGTGGACTCTGCAAGGAATCACCTTAAATCGTTTTGGAATCTTCCGCGCACTTATTCATTGACTCATGACGAAAAATTGCGCAGAAGACACCAAGATGATACAACTAAAACCTAAAAGCGCACTTTTATTAACCATTCCGCACGTTTGAGGAGTACAGGTAGTAATGCAATACACAATATTAAATCGAAGACGGCATTGGCTCTTCACACACAACGGGATATTGGATTTTTCAGTGGATCAAAAGAGTACAGAACAATCTGCCATTTCTCACGCACAAAATGACAGTTGTTTATGGTATTGCAAATTTTCAGTGTCAAACAAGAGATGTAAATACATTTTCGTTATTTTTCGGAGACAAAAATCGCCGAATTTTAAATGAGAGGTTTATTGGCGAATTATAGATGAGAGATTATCGCCGAAAAAAGAGGTTAAAATGTAACCATGTTAAAATTCACCCAAAAGTAGCTTTAGTGAGGAAATGCTTATCATGCACTTGAGCGAGAACTCTACTCATGAAATAGAAAACTAAAAAATTTTCAACTATATTCACAATCACAACATTAAGAATAGATTTCCAGAATTTTTAGAACTTGCCACAAAGCTTGAATAACTCCAGAAAATTCCAATAAATGCTGGTACCAGATACAACTTCTTAAAAATCCGGACTCTTTAAAAACACCAGTAATTCTATACGAAGCATCCGTAAAAGCTCTTGGCAATGTTAAGAAATAGTGTTGCTCGGCAGCTTAATAAAATATTAGAGTTTATTTCGATGCGAATCAAATAAATCGAAATAAGCTATAAGCACAACACCAAGTTATTACCTTTGCACTGGAAACTGGAATCGAACTCGAGACGACCTCATTGGCAAACATTTACACTGCCAACTTAGCCACGCCAACAATCTACATGTAAAAAAAATCTACACGCTCTTCTACAACAAGATCGCTGAGTAGAGGCTTTATAATAGTGCACATGAATCAGTTTTCTCGACTAGTTAATTCAACTTTGTAAAAAATCGGAGTAAAAGATGTAAAACTGTACACGTCTAAAAATAAGCCTATTTGACTGTTAAAATGCTTCGAAAATAGCACTAACACAATTTATTAGCTGAGTACAGGTTGTTTAGTTGTTGAAAAAGCACTTCTGATGTTTTTATTATTCAGCAAGAGTGGTAGGTTGTGTAGAAGCCATCAAATGAGTAATATATTAACTTTATTTGCTTTGTTTTGCAGCTACAAGTTGAAATTTGATTAGTATGTGAATAGAAGTTACATTAGCGTGTATTGGCTGCTGTTATTCAGTGCGACTGATAAATTGAATAACGGTTGTGAAAAAGTTGGGAAACGCTCTCCAAAATTATGTTGCTAGCTTTTGCTTGTAGCTACATCTGCCGCTTTTTTCAGCAACTTAACAGCACAACACTGGTAAAGTTGGCTTATAGCATAGCATAAACCAGGTTGCACAATGTCGTAGGTGGTAAGATTAATTACTACCTCTTATATAAAGGATGTGTCTTCCTCCAACAGAACAGAGCTGTCCTGGCCACGTCCTTGCATCTGGTGGGGAAGGGGGAGGAATATTAGTCCGACACTTATTTAAGAGGATGCAGAGAACTCTACGACCCCTCATAACTGTCACGGAAAGGGCGGAATTTTGTTAGTAGGAAGGGTAAGCCATAGGATACGCCCAACCGACGTTGCTGGCAATTGTTATATTAAGTAACGCTGGTAAACTTGGCTTATAAAGCTAAAAATGTTGGTTGGGCAGGCAGTCTTATGGAACAATCAACTCATGGACCAGGGGATTCATTTATTTGCTTCATTTCATTTCGTTACAAATTTTGCATTTAACAAAAACTGCTCATGTTCCTCACTGACAATTGTCAATTGGTATCCCTTTTTTTTTTTCCTTTGGTTTGTTTTTTCCGTCGATCTTGTTTTCCGTGCTGAGCACCAATGCTACCGACGTGCCAGGAAGGCAGCTCCCACACCTGGACCCTACCTATCGACCCATCAACTCATGAAGCGAGGACCAACGGCTTTACTTCCCATCCGAAGGAAGGCGTGATCAGAGATGTTATGCCTCAGAACATCCCGGCGGCGCCGACTTGGATTGAACCCAGGCCTGCTGGGGTGAGAGGTAATCACGCTTACCACTACACCACCGGCGCCGTTGATTGGTATCCCTTGAAGATCATTTTGTCAGTTTGAGTGAGTGACGAAAGTAATTGTGCAAATATTTCCATACATCACGATTTTTCAGCACTGGCCTAGACAGTGCAGGCACGGCATTGCCAAGTCGGAGGCGTCGGGTTTGATTTCCATATTGTTTGGCAAGCACAATGAGACTCTATGCACAGGAATGTCGAGAAACTTCAACCATTTAATATATGTTCCTCATTGATTGAACCTATGTGGATCTAAAAATTAAATCGGCTTCGTACAGCTCTCGCAATAACTTTGAAAACAGCCCAACGGAACAACCCGTCATAACACTAATTACTGCGTAAACACTGTGAGATTCAAATCAAAGCCACTCGTGAAATGTAAACACAAATGATGAAGTCACCAACAGATCACGAAAGAAAGCTCATCAAATCATTACCCAGCCCTAATCAAGCGTAGCGCTCCCGGGGTCCCCAAACAAGCACAGTACGTAACCTTCGACAACGGCGCTCTCGACTTGAACCACCATGAATGAAATCGATTGCAAATAAGCCGAAAAACCGAACATCTTGATCACCACGGCGACGACGGCGTATTTCGGTGTAGCGAACGCGGCAATATCGTCAGTCAATATTTACCGATATCGTTTGCTTCCTAATGTTTCTCGAGAACACATCCATGCCATGAGCCAAACCACGTCCGTCATGGGGAAGCAAACACAGAGCTTGAGGCGATCGGTGCCGCTCCATGTTTGGGTAAACAATCACCAGAAAATTACATCCAAGACCTCTCCTGAGACTCACCTTGCCTAGTAGTGATGTGATTTGTTCGGTTCGGGTTGGCTCTTCTTCGCTATTGGTGGGTCGGGTTCCGAAAAGTCAATCAATAACACATCAACCTGCCTCTTATCACGTAGTCGAACCACGGCCTATCAGTATCAGAAATCTTCACAACACTCAATCACTTCAAAACACACTCGGTAGCGCTCTTCTCCAATTTCCAGAATGATATCTTACAAGTAGATAATCTTATCACTGAAGCATTCCTTCACAGCTCATCGAACAATTTTATTTTCCACAGTGTCGTGGTCAACTTGATTGATTTCACCGGGCTCGAGCCACTTCGATTGAGCGGATAGATAGCACTTGAGTAATCCCAGTAGGCTCCGATTATTATCACTGAAACACCCGAAGAGAAGCTTTCATCAACGAACGGAGTTGATGGGAATTCCCTTTCCTGTCGCAATCGCGTTTCGTGGTCACTGATTTTGTGGTCAACCGCAGCTTCTCGTAATCTAATAATGATTAAGCACACACCACATGCACAAATGCGATTGGGTTAGGGCCTGATTATGCCAAAACGGAAGCTTTGCACTTGGAATCAATTTATCGCACCAACCAACAACGGTAGAGGGTCATCACCGCGGCACGCCCGAACGAGCACACGACACTCCAGGAGGTTCCGAAAGGCGAAATTTCTTGTGTGCACTAGCGTCGAATGATTTATTCATGTGCGCGTAACTTCTGGTCAAACAGAACGCTCACAAACGCGCGTAGTAGGACTTCTGGGTGCACTTTGTGGTCAACGCCGATATAATTAATACGATGGCACTATAATTGATATTACACGAGGCCACTCGTCCTGACCGGGAGCAGCAACAACAATTTTCAAGCACATTAACACACTTGAGGTCGTCCGCTGCCAAAGTGACTCTCAGAGGAATTTATACTATATGGGTGTGTAATGTATATTGACATAAATTAGACTCGAGCCTTGCTGTCTGGAGCTGATGGTTGGACTGACTTCTTCTTTTCCCACCTTCTGCCAGCCAACGGAACGGCTGATTATGTTTTCACCGATACTATCAGATTTCACGAGCCCTCGTGACGGCTTTTGCATATAATTGAATCCGATGGACGTGTCACTCAAAATTGTACACTCCTTCCTCGCGTTGACGATAAATTAATTCACGCAATTTCCCATAAACTTCACCACCAGATGGTTGAGCAATATTTCTCGCAAAGTCGTTCACGAATCACTTTCAAGCACGTTATCGATTCATGCCTTCCGAATCTACTCCAAACGGGACGAGCAGGAGGGCTGTGGAGCGCAAATATTTTCCTCCTTTCGTTGTCCTGTCGTGAGCAGTGCCCATAAACCGTTACACTTTTATCATTTTCTCGGTTCTTTAATTTATGCAAATTAAAAAATAATAACAACGATACACCCGACAAAAAAGTAAACCGCCCTCTGCTCGAGCGAGGGGGAGCACGCTACTTTGCTGTATCGACCGGGCCTGCGAGGATTTTTCCACCACCCCACATGTACAGACTACAGGAGCCCCAAAGGCTCGCGATTGCTCCTGTTGCTGTGCTTCGCCTTCCTTGCTACTGGCGCAATGTGATTTACGAACACGGACAATCCTTTGTACAGGTTCCAAACACACACCCTTGTCCTCGCAGGACACCAAATTTGCAATAAATTACTAACCCTCCGTATGTATGTATGAATGCATGTATATCTTCAATTTTTCCAGGTAAGACCGCGAAGGACCACCGCGCGCGAAATGTCCACTACGTGTCTCGAGCTCGCTTTCAGCTGTTCTAAACCTAACGAACCGAACGTCGAAGATTGACTGAAGGGACTCGGCCTTGCTGGAACGGAACGACCAGCCATCAGGAATACGGCGGCTTCGGGCACGCGAGCATACAAGACGACGGTATCGCAGATCCAGAGCATATAAACAGAGCACGCGCATAAACTGCACACTTTCTCTCCTCTCTATCGTTTTTTCGTTTATTTCTCTTTCTCCCTCTCACTTGACCGCGAGCAAACGAAACTGTGAGAGAATATGCAACTATGTTGCAGGTTGCAGGCTGCAGCTGCAAGGTCCTGAACCTGAGTAGGAACTGCTGTACAAAACCGCTGCATCAATCGCAATTCTCTCACGCCAGAGCGAAACATCCTAGAGAGTACGCAACAATGTTGATGTAAAGAAAAACATTGATACAATTTACTACGGCCCACTGCCGCCGGTCGGTCGGTGGGGAGCGATAACGATGGGATGACTCAGTTCCACCCTCTCTACTACAACATAGCGGCCCGTCGTGTTATGTTAGCTGGAGATGATCTCTCATTTTTTGTTTCAGGGTCACTAAGCGTTCTCTCGCAACGTAGAGCCTATTGAGAGAATTCATCAACCTGTGCCATGTACGTGACAACTTAGTCTTGCGATGCGATATAGCTGTGTTCATGCAACAAATTCGAACAACTGTTGCTTCTTGCATGTGGGAAATCCTCTTTTCAATGATTTCGGATGGCGAGTAAAATTTGTGGACATGATGACGCTACGCGTCAAATTGCTCCTCTGTAAATCGATTACGTATGACAAAACATTTCTTTTAACACCTTATTGGTTAATTTTTGAGATATTTTATAATAGTCGAATGCAATATTCGATTAATCTAATGATTATTTTTTTTTGTTTTAATATTAAACAGAAAATCCATGAATGATAAGATATGACCCTTCTTACACTATTAAATAACTCAAAAGTGATAGAACTATAGAAGACACAAAGGATCAGACGTAAACAAAAGTTCATGTGTGATTGCCTCTCACCCCAGCAGGCTTGGGTTCAATCCCAGTCGGCGCCACCGGGATGTTTTGAGGCGCATAACATCTCTGATCACGCCTTCCTTCGAAAGGTAAGTAAAGCCATTGGTTCCCGGTTCATGAGTTGATGGGTCGATAGGTAGGGTCCAGGTGTGGGAGCTGCCTTCCTGGCGTCGGTTGACGTTTGAGAGAATTATGAAAAATGCTGAGTTTTCGCAAGCTCGGACAAGACATTTAATAAAACAATATGATACACCTTTTCCTTGTTTGCTACTTACATACACCTTGATTGATTCGTCGGTATCACATCTTGATTGTTACATACACCCTGCATGATTCGTCAGTTTTACAGATCGGTTTTACATGCGTCAAATCAGATACACCGGTTTTTGTTTTACAGTGAAGATACGTCGGTAACTCGGAAAGAATATGTGCAGAAGCAAACTGTTGTGACTTATCAAGCTGTGTGGCTGCATCTTAAAAAAATATATATTTATATTTTTTTTTAAATACCTAGCAGTAGCTGAATTTCGTTAAAATCCATTTTGTATCTACTTAGAAACAACTTAACGCATCTGCTGATTGAAAATGATTGCTTTGTTTGTTCACATATGTTTCACTGTGATTGTATCTGCAGTTTTTGTGTTATCATTAAATTTGGACTGTTAAGTCATGTTGACATCTTGTATCACTTGTGTATCAAAATTATTTTAAAAACAATGAAAGAAGACCACATAGGGTGTTCATTAAATATATTTTCCATTGTTCAAACCTTGTTTTTCATTAGCTCGTAGGAAATGCATGTATTTCTTAATCGGTTAGAAGCAAAACAACGATTTGTTTATTGTTGCGACTTACGTCCTTTTGACAAGATATGTTTGAAGTAATCCCTCTCAAAGCTCCGAGAAGTCCACATCACTCAAGTAAGTCAAGACTGTCAAGATGATGTAATCTACAATTCAATTAAATACATGCTCTATAATTCTGTAACTAAGCTGAAATTTTTTTACGATGTTAGAAACGGAATACTTGGTGAAGAACTAAGAATCTTGCTCCGAGCAACGACCGTAAGGTCCAGATAGTTCCTTATTTATTTCACAGAAATTAACACCAATTTAACTACTAAAAATATTCTAGATCTTATAGTTATGAGGATAATTTCTGCAAGGAATTGAAAATTTGATGAATAACCACATTCTTACTATTTTCCATTTAATTCCACTACTTTATTTGCTTATCCTTGACAGATACGCGTATTTCGTCTACAATGTGCAGACTTCTTCAGTATACTTGTACTATGTCGGCTAGTCGAGTATTTACAAGACACTGAAGAAGTCTGCACATTGTAGACGAAATACGCGTATCTGTCAAGGATAAGCAAATAAAGTAGTGGAATTAAATGGAAAATACTAATCCTTCTCTCTCTCATTATACAGGTATTCCACTAAGACGCCCACATTCATCAGGACACATTCTTACGTTTTAAGTTGTTTCCATTTTCTCGGTTTCCATTGTTATATCGTTGTCTGGCTCGAATTGCAGATTAAAAGACTATCCCAAAGCACTTTTCTGACAGAATTCGTAAATGAAAAAAAAATATAGCAGACAGCTAACCAGCATACTTAGAAGGATTTCATGTACCTTCTTCTTCTTGTTGTCCGCATTTTAAGCTTATTGCATATAAGCATATTAGCATATTGCGTGCTCTCAACTTAGTGTTCTAGATACACTTCCACAGTTATTAAATGCCTGTACCATTGTTGCATTAGTATAATTGTGTGGCAAGTACAATCATACTCTATGCCCAGGGAAGTCGAGAAATTTTCCAACCCGAAAAATTCCTAGACCGGACCGGGAATCGAACCCAGCCACCTCCAGCATGGTCTTGCTTTGTAACTGTGCCTTTACCGACTGAGCTAAGGGAGGATTTCATGTATTGTTCAACGTTTATGCGCTTAAAAGCGCCACGGTAACAAAAGAGGCATGTCTCCTGTGAGTTAAATTGATCAATCGCTCATATGACCACCTTGATAATCGGATATCTTTACATTAAGGCATTTTTAAGCAAAATTGTTCAAATTTTCACTGAATCAAGCTAAGAGTGTATAGAATCACAGTAGGCATTGGTTGTCAGAATAAGTTCATGTGTTTACATCATGGCGTCACCGGAGCAAGCACGTCGCGATTCCATCCATTCTGGTAGTTTACAATCAAATTCCTGGGCAGGAATTTTATACCTCGGTTGACCGGAAGAGTGCCCGGAAGAATATAAAATCAAAAAGAAGTCGAAATTCCCCAAAAAGTTCCTTGTCTGGCAAGCAACCTGCAGTTGTGGACTGAAAAGCGAAACTTTCGCTACTTCTGGGACCATGAACCAGCAAATGTACCAGGAGGAGTGCCTACCGAAGTGACTACTGCCTTTTTTGGAGCAGCATGAGGTGGATTGTCTAATCTGGTCGGACTTGGCAAGCTACCACTACTCAAATCCTACCAAACAGTGATACAACGAAAATGAATACTCCGGAACTAAGGCCAATTGAGGAATACTGGCCAATTGAGGAATACTGGCCAATTGAGGAATACTGGCCAATTGTGAAGCACGTACTGAAGAAAAAGGGTGGAACTGCAATTGAACTAAATAATTTCAAGCGGACATGGAATTTGGCAGCCAAACAAGTGGGGACAGGGCTTGTGCAAAAGATGGCCGTGTACGAAGAAAAGTTTGAGCAATGGCCTATGGTAAGAAGGAAGACTGAAACAATGGTTTTACAATTAGCATAATACCTACTAATGCATTTTTAAACTCCAACAAGATTTTCGTGTCCCGATTTTTTCGTGTTCAACCTTTATAACAATACATCCTGAAAGCATTTACGTCGATTTTCCTTGCCTCAAGCAAGACAACTCACTATTACCGAAAATTACTCAAATATTTTACTTAGTTGATTTGGTGATGTCAGCAGTTACAAATTGAAATTTAAAAACCAATTTTAATCAAACAACGTTAATTTTAATCAAACAACGTTAATTTTGGCTTCCAGAAACTTGGTTAATCTTTCTTGCCCGCAGCGCGCCTCTTCATCTTGTTGCAGTCAAGTCGTTCTCGAAAACTATTTTCACCTGGTTTGAACGAAGTGTCCAGCCCACCGTTGTGGCCCGATTCTTGGCTCGCAATGAGGCTGCCACTTATCTTGTGTTCGAATTCTCATGCTTTTATTGCTTTGGCAGGTTTAAGCTAATATCTTTATATTGTCAATCTGGGTGTTCCATAAACATTTACAATTATAGCCTTTATTGTGCTGGGTAGTATGTAATACCAATGATATTATATTTACAATTATCATGTGATTTTTGTCCGTTTACTATTTTATTTGATAAGGCTCAATCGAATTAACTTTACAGAGCCGAGGATTCTTGTTTACTATACACAATATCGTAAAATTATAGTCAAAAGGTACAGCACAATAAACACTTTATCTTCCGTTATCCAATAAGCCTCCTCCATCAGAACGGGATACGCTTCCAGTGGTTTCATTGTATGGCAGTATCGCCAACGAGGAGCAGAGCACGTCCATTGCAGCAATGGACACAAATCGTGGTCATCACTCACACTCACTCATCACGGAAAGGTTGCTTTCCAAAGTCGACGACACATCTACCGAAAGAACCGCTGATGAAGAACAATGAGGAGAACCACACAATGGTTGCAGTCAAGTAAATAGACGATCACGTGACGCATCGAGAGTGGCTTGCTTCTGTCGACAGGCATGTGATTTTTAGTTTAGCATAGCTTGCTCTGGCTCAAGCAAGACTCTGATCAGTTTTTAAAAATCTATGCTATGGGAACGATATCATTTGGTGCTTTTTGTGTCCATTTTGAAACAGTGGCTAGCGAAAAACACGTCCTCCAAAATGTAATAGCACAATATAAAAAAAATCGTCAACGTAACAAACATTATCACGGCGGCGTATCAAAAAAGCTCACGGTGGCGGTAACACACAGTGGGACCATTCTA